GATACAAGAAGTAAATACTTGAGTTCATCACTGGGGGAGATTTGTGATGCGAAGCAAAGATGATTGCTCCTACCAGTGCTCCAATGGCAATCAGGATGCAGCTTTCAGGCATGAGTCTTGGTAATCGGTGATAGATATGAAAACCTTGAATAAAACATTAGGATATTATTCAAGTTTAAAGCAACCTGATGTCAGACAGATGTTTTGCCTGTGTTTGAATATTTTGTCTTCAGACAGCTTTTGTTCTTGGGATTATGAATGTAAAACCAGGCAGCACTGTTCCCCTTGAAACTAAATGTTCCCAGACTTGTATCATTAAAGCAGGCCAAGAGTTTGGCCATGAATCTCTTCTCTTCCTGCTTCCCAGCTCTTGATTTTTAAGCAAGTATGCCTGAACCTAATCTCCATTTCTGGGAAGGCAGAAACTTCTTTGAAAAGATTCTCCACAATTTGGAAAGAAATATTCTTCAAGAATCCTTAATGCCCAACTGCTATTAGGTTGTCTACTCACTATACCAGGAACTGTGTAATCATATAGTGAATGAAAGGTGTCTCTACTAGAAATGTAAGGAATTTTTCAGAATTTACAATAATGGGAATGAGGCAAACTAAGAAACCTTTAAATGCAATGTCTGTGTCTCTATGTCTGAAGGTAGGTCAGCCTTCATCTTATAGCTCCAGAAGGTAATGCCATGAGTGTATTTCTGTGACTCTTGAATTATCAATCTTCAAAAGTAAAGGAACAGAAAAATATTTTTATTAAATTTTCAATAATAAATGTAGGACACTAGTTTTGTTGTTTGTTTTTTTTTTTTTCCAAAAGGTATGTTAATATTATAACTTGTCTCATCTCCCTCTTAATTATCATGCTCAAGTCTTCTGTCAGTTTTACAGAATAAGGGGATTGTTTTGCCTTTCAAAACCTCTAAAGTGTTTCCCACCCTGAAATCTTGAAATCCACAAAGATAATACCTGAATAAAACACTGAAAATGTTAAACAGTTTGAAAATCTTCTTCTCTGGGTAACCAGATTATTCAGACCAACTCTTCCTTCCAAGTATACTTGAAATCAGCAGCTCCACACTTTGCATCAAAAATAGTATTATTTGAAAACTCCCATTAAAGGGAACAGGTTCACTAGGAAGGCATCACATAGTTCTTCTAAAGTACCTATTTCTTGCTCAAAACAAGAATATTGAGTAGATGTGCCATATGGCAAGTCCTGTGCATTTATGGATGATGAATAAAGAAATTGGTCAATATGCTTACTGCTAACACACTCCACTGATGCCACAACAACAAATTTTATTTTATGCTAGCAGTGAAGACGTTTGTTTATAGGAATTGGATTGAGACCATCAGCTATAATGAAACTGGCAAATCATGGTCAGTGGTAATGATTTTTGTCAGCAGGGTGACTATGATATGAAAAATGTTTTTCTTCAGGCCACCTCCAGAGAAGTATCAGTCACCTACCAGCCTATTCTATAGTAATGTTTGAAAATCCCAGGGAAAGATTAAAAAAAAAAAAAAAGATTACATGTGTCAGCTTTTCATATTAGTACCATCTTCATTTACTGGACATTGCTGCATTAATTCAGAGTAGTCAAAATAATTTGAGCCCAGCCATGAAAATGTGTAAGATATGATGAGCCATTTGCTGTGTTAGTTGCAGTCCCTACTGTCCCATGAGTTATTTTGGTCCATTCAGATACCCACATGGAGTTCTAGTAGAAGCTGGATGCATTGGTATGTATTCAGAAGGTACCCACCGTACATCTCTGATGACCTACACCCTCTTAGACTCTCAGTGTCTCTCCTCTAGTATTACTTTCTGAGCAACTTTTAAGAGCAAATATGTAAAACAAAGGCCCAGAGGGAAATATTTCCTATTATTCACACAGCAGAGGAATTCTTTCCTATTTTGTCCCCCAAATTCAACATGTTGAGATCTCAGTCTGGTGTAACTGATTTCTACAGCAGTTTTATGTTGCAAATTCTGGTATCTTGTGATGTATAAACATTAGGAAAAGGGTTGGACAGCACTGTGTAGGGGAGCTGTGTTGCTACTCAATAACATAGAAAACCCAAGAGATGTAAGGTCATATGTTTACTTAAGTTAGCTGGAAGCATTCAGAGATGGAATATTGCTACTGCCATGGTAATGAACATACCTGTTCTTTTGAGGACAGAAAAAGTAAAATCAATCCCAACTACAAAAATGCATGGAAGGTACTTGGCTATGTGGTATATTTTTGACTTCTTGCCGAGGTAGGAGGACCCAAGACCCATTTTCTACTTACCTATTTTTGCAAGAGAGGCAAGGAGGATCCAAAGAGTAACTTCATAGGGAATTTGCACATAGTCATAGTCCACTGTGAAAACATGTAGCCTCGTATCTTGCAAAGAGTCAACAGCACCCCCAGGATCAGGTTCATGGCGAGGCAAGAAGCTCTTGCCCAGGTTGGGCTCATCCACATAAGCAGCAGCAGAACAGGATATCAGACTCAACAGCAACAGCAAGCAGTTCAGAAGCTTTGCACATTCAAGTGCAGCAGAGCCCATGTCTGGGGCTGTGACTATTTTATGACAGAGTATAGAGGATGCATGAAGGTGTGTAACACTCACTTCTGTTGATTCATGATGCTCATAGCCACAGCCACTTCATCCTCAGGACTGTTTCATTTACCTGTTGGAGGTCATTTTAAAAGCCCTAATGTGCCTGTCCTGTTCCTTGTGTTACAGACGGACCTGGAGTTTGTATGAAGATACCGGTTCAGCAGGTTCCTCTGACCCAGATAAACCTTAGCCACAGCATCGCCCTGTTGAGGAATAAAAAGCCCTTTCCAACTACATTATTTATCCAGCCACTTTGATTTTTTTCCCCACTGTCAAAAATATATTTAACAAAAAAAGAAAAAAAAAAAAGAAAAAAAAAAAGAAAAAAAAAGGAAAAAAGCTGCAATGCTCAGAGTTCAGGCAGCAAGAGCAGCACGAGTGAATAGCATCAGCTGGGAGAGATGCTGGCAGCCTGGAAAGTCTGGAGACCTCGCTTCATGCCTTCCTCTCTTGCCCTCGCTCCTCGTCTGCCTCCCCAGTCCAACTGGAACCTCGGGCATCTCACTTAGCACTGCTCACTGATCCCGTCGCAACTGGTAACAAAACTGCTCGGTGTGTAAATAAAGGGACTATGGCAGGGCTCGCGGTAGGGACATCTGGTGGGGGACCACGAAAATTGCGTCCTTGTTTGGAAAAGGGTTGTCTCTCTTAAACGCAGGTTTAAACTTACCACATTTTACCAACAGAAAGAGGAAGGTCTGAGTCACATCACACGCCTAAAACTTGATTTTAAATTATCTTGTGTTTGGCCTTTGCTGGCATTTACTGGGCAGCCACATTATCCTCCTTCAACAGAATATTCAGCCTTACAGAACTTTTTTTTGAAAGGTCAACATCTTTTCTCCTCCACAGCACCACCAGTCCTTCCACCGAAATCTTTGAACCCAACGCAAATTTAGGTAGATAATGCTCAGCCTGCTTGCAGAAAAGTTGTTCCTTTTTTCAGTATACAGCAGTATTTCTTGAAATCCCTTTCCGAAAAGGAATCTAGAAGATGAGATATTCAATTAGCGTTATAAAACAAGCATTTTTTTACTGGAAGGCCAAATGAAGTCTACAGAAAAACAGATCAGTGGGTATAGTACTCAGATTTTCTTAACACTGAGCATTGCATTTCACTCATCTACAGCCCCACACACAGACTGCAAGCTGTCTCGAGAGTAAGTGATATGAACCCTGGAGAGCTGGTAGTCAGAAGACTGCAAAGGAAAGGCTTCAGAATCCCTGGAAGTGTTCTAGCTGTGACAACCAGGGCTTCGATTTTCAACTGCAACACACCCATAATGCCAACATGTTCAGTGGGCATTGAGTAACCAGCATCAGACAGGATAAGCAATGTGCAGGTGTCTGTGAGTGTGAAATGTTTCACAACTGGTAGGAATTCTTTCTCTCACTGCAGGAAGGATGGAGATGCCTGGGATCAGCCCTGGGACAGTGCTCCTTCTTTTCTGAATCCCGTAGGCATACCCAGTTGTAGCAGTCTCTCATGGCGTTTTCCTGGTTCTCCCACTGGAGGAGGTAATTCACTTAAAGAGTTTGGATTTTTCCCACTAGGCTGCATTGGAAAATTAAACTACAAGCTTCCTCTGGAGTTCCCTTTTTTAATGATTTTCTAGGAAAAAAACCTATGAAAATATTCTCAAAGAAATACAGGGAAAGAATATTGCATGTCTCAGAGCAAAAGAGTATAATAAATATAATTTAAAAGTAATCAAATAATTTATGAAAGATAGCTCACATTTATGGTTGCATGCAGTGACAGTTTTACTGTGGGGCTACAGCACTGTCACACTTCAGTCGTTCTTACTGTTTTGGAGCAAGCTATTGCTGACTGTAGTGACAGTTCACAGTTGTCAGATGATGTAGAAAAAGTTTTTGACAATCAAGACACCATTCCCAAGCCCTTCTGACATTTCTGTTATCAATATACCAATCTAAAAACCCTTTGGAATAAACCCTTTAGGCTGCAATTTCCCAGCATCTTAGTAGTTTTCACTGGCATGTGGTAACGCATATATTTCCAGAACTTCTTGTCTGAAGGGGCAGAAATAAAAGACTTCCAGGTAACAACTGGTAAAATCCGAAGAGCTTTCTTCACTGCTGGAGGTAAAGTCTCTGGCTCTTGGAAAGCCTGGAATTTTATTAATACCAGTTTGATCCTTTTATCTTCCAATGCACAGTTCACCGCTGCCTGCAGTTCAAAGATGCTTGGTCCACTGACGTAGGCTGGGCTCAAGATAATTATTACCCTTCTGCTTTGTTTAATAGCTGTTACAACTTCATCTGTGTATGCTGGAGAGAAAATGGTGATAGTTACTGCATTCTACAATGGAGTTTTTATCTTATTAGTTCCTTTATCAAAAGCTAAAAAACAGAAATAAGGAAAGACAAGAAGAGGAATGCTGATCAATCACATAACCTCTAGAAATGTGTTTGCTATCAGAGGGTACTATGGCTGATTTGATACAGCCTTGAGAACACAGCTTTTTCCTCAGGAGATGAAGGGCACAGCTGAGACCTCAACAGACTTTGTTGCTACTCAAACAGGGTCTCAAGGGACACTGGGACTGGTCTCTGTCTCTCCCAGGAACCCATGGCTTTCTAATTACTGCAGGTAGCACAGACTAAAGTTGTTCAGGAAGTAATTACTGAAATATCTGGGATCTTCTTTCCAGGGAATGGAGTCTGCTTGCAAAGACATTCTTGGATAAGAAGCTTTGTCTCAGCCTAGTAACTCCCAGTGATCACACTCAAATGTACGTATGCCTCAGGAACAGGGACCAAATATAAAGAACAAAACATTATGATATTTGAGCATAAACTCCACTACCAAAATACACAATTTGTTGATATGAAGCATAAGGGTTTTTTAGAAAGTGAAACACAATTTCATAAAAACTGAAGAACTTCTACTGTCCACAGTGAACTTACCTCCTCCTGGAAGAATATCTCTTTCAAGAATACATAACTTGTATCCATATTTATTTTCTAGCATATCTGGAAGAAGCTCCAGGGCAAATTTTTCCTCACTAATTAAAGTACAGTCCCTTTCAGAAGAGTCTAGTTTTGCATAGGACACAAACGCATCAAATTCCTTGCCATCTAAAATAAATGAATAAAGAAATAAAAAACATTGTATACATTAACTGGCTGAAGTTATATATATACTATACATATATAATATATATAGTCTGGCTGAAGCATTCAGCTTCTTTCTTAATGCTCAGTTTCCATTTCTATCTATTTAAGTAGGCACAACACAAACCTGTTTATGGAATACAGCTGTCCATTTATCAAAGACAATCCCCGCCCTCATTGTCTTGCAAATTTTGTAGACATACTCTACCAAAGCAAAGGAGGAAGCTAGAGATGACTAGTGCAAGGTAGTTTAAAGATCTGGCCCCTTCCAGGCAAAAGCCACGTGGTGGGAAATGATTCCCTGTCTTTTCTCTCATTTGCCCAAATGCTGCTTCCAAAAATTTCTCATCAATGGCCAACCATCTTTTACAATATAATTAGTTTTTAAGTAACACTGTTCTTAAATATTAGCTGCTTGCAAAAGATTTTTATGTTTTCATACACTGTTATGTTTCTAAGCACAGAGACTGGTGTAAGGAGCAAAGCCTAAGTCTCATTAAAGTATCAGTTCAGACACCAAGTACTGACCTGTAACTGAACTTTTTTTAAGTCTCATTAAAAGAATGTTTGTAGAGTGCAGGTGAAAAATATGTAAAGAACTTAGCTTTCAGTCACCCTGGTACCAATGTCCTGAGTTAGGCCCATTCTTAACTACAAGGCAAAAGCAATCGCATCTATTTGCTGAATAAAATTTGAGCTACATCTGAGGGAGAAGGAATCAAAAAAAAAAAAGGATTTCTGGTGAAAGCAAAAGGCCCGGTGGACTCAGTACATTTTCCCATATGTAGTTTTTGAGGCCATTTAAGTGTCCTAAGATGGACAGAACTGCCAAATTTGACAGGGGAAATATTGGAGACTCAAGTTTTTTGGAATGGCATCGTTCAGGCAGCCCAAATTACACTGGACACCTATGAACCAATTAGCTGAGTTGTATCATATGTCAGCACAGTTAATAGAGACCAGAAAGAAATTCAGCAGTTTAGAGCAGATTGCTGCAGCAGGACAAGCTGAGAAGCTCTCTAGATTTCATTGTATTGACTGCATCTTCACTGCACAGGAACTGAGACACCAACCTCCAGCACAGACACCTAAGTGTTGAGTATCATGATCCACATGCCTCGGTGTTAACAATTCCTATCCCTGTATATAAGATTAGTATCACAATCAAGAGCTAGAGCCACCAAGTTGCCACAGGATCTAGAAGAGTCCATATGGAAAGAAAACACACAGAAAACTAACGACATGGATGAGCTGGAGTTGGACACCTATATTCAGAACCAATATGTAGCAGAACATGTGTCACCAAGACAAAACATAGGTGTGCAGATTAGGTTTGGATGCCAAGGATGAGATCAGGCAACATACTGCATTTCTGTTCCTCCCCCCTGCTCCTGGCCACACACTTTCAACCATGTCCTTCTACTGGTGTAGAAGCTCTTGTGGTAACAGAGGAAGCTGATTCCCTTTGCTGGCTACTTACTGATTTTTACTGAGTTATTTTTCTACCAAGCTGAGCCAATTTAAGTGCACAAGAGTGAATCACCAGCAGCAGGCACACAGGACTAGTGTGGGAATTGAAGGTGGTGCAGAGGGTCACTAGATTGATTCACCTACAATCTAAATTGAAGCTTCTTTAAACACAGTTTTTAAATGGCAATAAATTGCACTACAAGCCAGGTATTCCTCATTTCACCCATAGAGGTCACTGTGATTTTATTAGACAACAACCATTAGTGAACACATTCCTTTACGATATAACTATTACAATAGCAAGTTAAAGCCAAATACACAGTAAGCACCACTAGGACTTTTTTTTTCCCCCATAATTGTACAAGACAGTTACAAGCTGAGGAACTTTTGGTACAAACATTTAAGATCCTCAAAGTGTAGG